GTAACCTGATGGGAACTGGTTATCTTTGTGAAATGACTCAAGTTAGAAAATAGCCTTCTGACATTTTGTTATTGAATGACCCTGTCTTCTGGGACACAGTCACCCAAGTGGACCTGACAACAGAGTTCACTGGCCTGCAAACTGACTCTACAGAGTGACTTGCATTAGCCAGCAAAACCATCTCGGACCAACAGCTCAAAATCTATCAACAGGAGAAAAATATTATTTGAGTGCCGTAATTCGCTCTCCTCCACGCTTGTCCCATTACCTTTCCACAGATTCCACACAAAACATTCATTATTTCAAAAGGTCATAGCATCAGTCATTTGAAAAGGTTAATCATGTTTCAAAAAGAAGATGTTTATTCATAATGTGTCCCCGCTTAGTTTCCAGCGCTTTGTTATTTTGTATCTTGTTTTAAAAATATCTATGACAAAAAGACATCTCCCACATCCTGCAGTGCCACCTTCACAGATCTGGAAGACTGGCGACATATGAAACCTCTCCATAAATCAGTAGCCACTTGGGAAACATTCATTGTCCCTACCCTCTCTTTTTGCCTCACGCATTAACATCTCTTTTTGATTTGTAAATCAGAGTAAGTTCATCACCAATTGGAAAATTTCACTGGCAGTGTTCTATTCTCCCCATTTGCTGCCAATGATGACGGTGATGATGATGATGGCGACCACCATGACAGAAAACACTTAACATTACTTTTCAGGTATTGTTCTAAGAACTTGATATATGTTAACTAATTTAATTAATTCTATCCCTAGGTGTATATGAATTTTCTTTCAATGCTGCCTCCCATTGATTCTGGACCCAGAGAGCACATGAAATTGCACGTGTTGTCTGGCAAAGGTAACTACGTTGTCTAGTTCAGTGTTACCAAATAGAAATATGATGCAGGCCACATCTAGAATTTTAAAATCACTAGTAGTTGCCCTGGCCGGTTTCGCTCAGCAGTCAGAGCATCAGCCCATGGACCAAAGAACTGGGTGTTTGATTCCAGTCAAGGGCATGTACCTCCAGTTGTGGTTCAGTCCCCAGCCCTGGTCCAGCACATCAATGATTCTCTCTCTCTCTCTCTCTCTCTCTCTCTCTCCCCCACTCTATCTAAAGATAAATGGGGAAAAAATCCTCAGGTGAGGATTAAAAATCACTAGTAGTCCCATTAAGAAAGGAAAATGATTTCAGTTTTATATCCCACCTATGAGTAAAATCATATGGTTCTTAACTTATTTTGCCTGACTTATTTTACTTAGCATCACCCCAAATAAAATTAATTTTAAAACCTTCCCAAAAGGAAAAAGAGTCAGGTGAAATCAACTTCAATAATATATTTTATTTAACCCAATATATCCAAAATGGTATCATTTTAATGTAATCAATATAAAATACAGGGTGTCCCAAAAATTGTTTACAGGGTATCTGTAGATACTATTACATTTTGAAAATGAAATGTATTTTAATAAACACTGGCTTCACAATTAAAGTTGTGTACACATTTTGGGGGACACCCTATATTAATGAAACATTTTCCATTTCTTTATATTATCCTCAGAATCTAGGATATATTTTATATTAAAGCACGCTAAATTCTGATAGGCCAGTTTCTACCACTCAATAAATACAAATTTAGTTAATTACCCTGATCATTACAAACAGAATATGTGAATAGGAGTTATTTGCCCATGGTTTTTGTACACATGAGAAATCTGAGGCCCAGAGAGAAGTAATATTTCTCATAAAGTGAAAGGGAGTCCTAGTCTTACAACCAGAAAAACTGAATTCAAACCCAAGTTCTGCCACTTCCTAGATGAGCATCTTAGCCATTACACCTCACTGAATCTTAGTGTCCTCATCTGTAACCAGGGGATAACAATCTCTACTGTTCAAGGCTGTTCTGAGGTTCAAATGAGAATATACATCTATAACTGTAAGGCCGTACAGAGCACATACCACCACCAATAAAGTCAGAGCCATCTCTCAGCAGTGACAGAAACCAGTATCAAAAATTACTAAACTACAAACTTATTAAACTAATATATATATTATATTATATTATATTATATTATATTATATTATATTATATTATATTATATATTATATTATATATAAGGAAACTAACTGTACAGTACCATACAGGCTGAGGAAAGGTACCCCAAGGAGAATGAATTTGGAAGGGGTTCAGATCTCCCTGGAAACGGTATAATTTAAGCCACTGAACAGCAGAGAAGTTTGCTAGACTGGCCTGGTGTTCTGCAGTCACTAAGTGAGCAGGCAATCTCCAGAGTGCGCGTGGGTAGAGACAGGCAGCAGCCAGTGGACTAGGGATAGAGGGAGGATGGGAAAACTCTAGGTTGAGGCGAGCTTCGCGGGGCCAGCCTGCCTCGGTGGGAACTTCTCAGGGTACAACCAGGCTGTGTGAGAGTTGATAGAGGAAGCAGGAAGTAGCAGCTCTGTCAGTCACTGAGGGACTGCATATTCCAGGGATGTGGCAGGGCCAGAGCCCCACCAATATCTCACTTCCATTCTACTGACCCACCTGTGCAGCAGCTGCAAACTTCAGGGGTACCCCTTCTTCCTGCAATATCCTTCTAGCACCCTCTGTTGAGAAAGCTTAACATCTTGCTCACTAAACAGGAGAGATGCTCAAAGGTATTGAGGAGTGTTAGAATTAAGAGGCAATAAATTAATAAAACAAAGAGGTAGCCCTGGCCAGTTTAGCTCAACGGTAAGAGCACTGGCCTGCAGACTAAAGGGTCACGGGTTTGATCCCCGGCTGCGGTCGGGGTTGTACAGGAGGCAACCAATTGATGTGTCTCTTTCACATCTCTCTCTCTCTCTCTCTCTCTCTCTCTCTCTCTCTCTCTCTCTCTCTCTCTCTCTCCCTCCCCCTGTCCCTCCTTCCCTTTCTTTCACTGTATCTAAAAATCAATGAAAAATATCCCCAGGTGAGGATTAACCACCACCAACAAACCAAAACACAGGTGTAGACTAGAAGCTACATTTTCTAGTCCATTTTCAGAGCTCTTTCTGCTACCTTACATTTTACTACTAGGAGAATTTGAAATCGTTTTCTGAAAATGACTTGCACACCGAACGTTGGTCACCTTCCTCGTAGGTGCACAGACTGGCCCCACCAATAAAGAAGTGCGGGAGAAAAGACCGACAGGAATTTAACCTTGGTGAGTCCAGTTCTTCATTGGGATAATGGGTACTATACATCCTATAGGTTTGCTGTAAGAATTAAGGAAGACAGTGTATGTAAAATCCTCAGCCCAGGCCTGGGACATCGGAAGTATATAACAGAAATGCATTTCCCTTCTCTCAGTTGACACGAGGTCAACCACTGCAGCAAATGCTTCCTTTCCAGGAACCAATGTAAACCCCGTGGAAGGGTTTTTACGCCATCTGTCCTTCATCCTCTTTATTCAGGATTATGCAAAAATCATCACGTCACTTAACAAGTAGCTATTTTCATACCACACTTGTGGTTGTAAAGCTTCTTCTCTCCTAGTATATACTTTTCCAAGTAAGTATTTATATCAACGAGACTCCAGAGGAAGTGAGTGGAATCCAGCCACTCAAATAATGTCTATGTCAACTTGCATGATGACATCAGGCAGTGGGAGCACCTCTAGTCTGCTCTTTCTTCTCATAACTGCTATTTCCATATCCGGGATCCAATCTGTCTGTCGTGATATTCCAAATGAGAAGCACTGAATGCTGTGTTCTTAGTCCTAAAGGGGCCAGATGCTTGGTCAAGGTGCTACATTTAGTTCTAGTAGACTCTCTTGGTTACATGGCACATACACATTGAAGTTTACCAAACAGGCTTACACCTAGCTGATAAGAATAAATCGAACAATTATCCATACCCCTTTATGAAACACCGGAACTCAGAAATCCATGAGTAGTCAAGATGAGATCATCTGGTACAGGGTTGTCCAACCGAAATTTCTTCAGTAATGGAAATGTTCTGTATCTGTCCAGTACAGTGGTCACAAGCCACATTGTGGCTATTGAGCTCTTGAAATGTCACTCGTAGGACTGAGCCACTGAATTGTTCATTTATTTGATTTACATACCTATTGGCTACCATACTGGACACCACAGATCTGGATAGTGTGGTTCCATGGAATGGGGGTTTGAAGCTAAACAGATCCTCAGATCTAAATTCTGGCTACTGTCTGTCACTCACTAACTATATAACTTTGGCCCTCTTCGTTACCTTGTCCAAACCTCAGGACTCATTTATAAATAGGTCTTAAAATCTAGCCTTTCGGATGTGCCTGCTGATCATACTAGAACCTCACAGGATAGTTGGAGTTAGAGAATGAATATAAAGCATCCAGCCCAGAGCTCAGCACACAGGAAGTAGTCTTTAAATAACAGCGATTAGCCCTGGCCAGTTTGGATCAGCAGTTAGAGCGTCGGCCTGCGGTCCAGAGAGACCTGGGTTCAGTTCCCACGAAGGGCATGTACCTCAGTTGCACTTTGTCCCCGGCCCTGGTTGGGTCGTGCAGGTGGCAACCACTCAATGTGTCCCTTTCACATCGATGTCTCTCTCTCTCTCTCTCTCTCTCTCTCTCTCTATCTCTCTCTCTCTCTCTCTCTCTCTCTTTCTCTCTCTCTCTCTCTTCCTGTCTCTCCCTCCCAGTATATCTGAACAAAATATGGAAAAATGTCCTTGGGTGAGGATTAAATAAATAAATAAATAAATAAATAAATAAATAACAGCGATTATTATCAAACTCTTCATTTGCAAGATAGAGAACGTGAAGTTACAAAAGGACAAGTGTCCTGTCCATAGACACATAGCTGGTTAAAAGCACAGTCAGAAAGAAGCCAATTAGTTTTCTCATCTTTTTTGATGATGAGTTTTCTTATAGACACAAACCCTTCTCACCCCAGAAAACTGAAAAGTAGTTGCCAACAACTATTCAGCTGCTATAAAACATATATTTCTTATGCACATAGAGAAAATGTACCTTGGTGAAGCCTATTTGCTCCTTCCGAAATTTTTCCAGGGGTTTGATCAGCAAATCACTAGCATTGTGTACCTAGAGAAAAGAAAGAACACACAGAACAACTTTTAGATTAGCAAAATTCAGATTCGAGATTCCCTGTTGCTGGGGCCTTTCCTTGCATGAAATCATCCGGCAAATAGTTGATGAGCGTGCTGGCTCTTTTCTTGTTGTTGCTGTCTTCTTCCCATATCAGTCTCTTAAAACCAAATGCTTTGAGAGGAAAAGAGAGAAGAACATTAGGGGCATTTCTCTGTAATTTTCCAGTCATCTGATGCAAGATTTTAGTTGATAAATATCCACAGTCTTGTCCAGAAACAGAACAGGAGGCCTGAAGTATATGTGGTAAGAAGAAGAGAAAGGGAATGAAAAAATACATGAAAAAGCCAATTCCACCAAGCACAAACCTCTTCATGGGAGGCAAATGAGTCAGCAGTAATAGCATTAGGATAGATTGTTTCCAGTCTTGCCGTGGTATGTATAAAACCAGAACATTTCCTTCAGAATTTGGAGTGTATTAAAAGCATCACAGAGAACACTAGACCAGGCCTCCCAATTACCTAATTATACATGCTCAGGACATGATAGGAAGAGCCAGTCTAGGTACTAAATATTGGCACTGATAGCTTCCAGAGATATAACATCATCTCCAAACTGGATCCCTTGCTCAATGGGCAGGTAGAGATATACAAAGCTTTGTCTTTCTAAATCTCTTTGTAAACCTCTTGGAAGGTGGCATCTGTCCAACGCAATAAGTGGAGCTTGTTTCTTCAGTGGTGTGAAGTATCTGCACTTCCTCGGACGACCTCAGCAAACACATCTGAAGGGCTGGACTTTAGGGCCCATTGCATTCATTTTGATCTCCTACAACATGGGGAAATGAGGGACTGGCTTGTCAGATGAGACATAAAGTATCAGATAGATCTTCACAACAAAAATAGAAGACAGAGTAGAAAACTAATTTTTTTTAAATTTATTTTTTTTATCCTCACCCGAGGACACTTTTCCCATTTTTTGCACAGATAGAGTGGGAGGGAGAGAGAAGAAGAGAGAGAGAGAGAAACATTGACGTGAAAGGGACACATCGAGTGGCTGCCACCCGCACGACCAACCAGGGCCGGGGACAAACTGCAACCGAGGTACATGCCCTTAGCGGGAACCGAACCCGGGTCTCTCCGGACCGCAGGCCGATGCTCGAACCGCTGAGCCAAACCGGCCAGGGCTAGAAAACCAATTTTGACGAGTATTCTCAAAACTAAGAAGTAATTTTTACACTACCACCAAAAAGCATGGCAAATTGGGGAATTAGTGCGTGCGTGTGTTTGTGTGTGTGTGTGTACTAATATTTATTTTTATATACTATATAAATGTATCCAGGTCCTGCAGGCACTTTGAATCTCCTGTGTTGTGTTCATGTATGAGACAAGATTCATTAAATAGGCAAACTCTTTTCCAATCAAAGAGCTCCACTGCTGCCCTGGTATTAAAAATAAAGACATCAGCCCAACCGGTGTGGCTTGGGGGTGTGAGCATCGTCCATGGACTGAGAAGTCCCAGTTCGAATCCCAATCAGGGCATATACCCAAGTTGTGGGCTTGATCCCCAGTAGGGGGCGTGCAGGAGGCAGCCGATCGATGTTTCTCTCTCACATCGATGTTTCTATTCCTCTCCCCTTTCCTCTCTCTCTAAAAAATCAATAAAAACATATTTTAAAAAATAAAGACATCAGTGACTCTCCTTGATTGAAAACAAGAGTACATCTACTAAAAGTACAACCCTGTGTCTCAGCATGCTCTACACTTCTGTGAATTATAAATTATGTACTATCAACTTTACCCACATGGAAACAAATTAAGTCTTGGTGTCATATCCAGCACAGGGAGTCATTTTTCATCTTTTGTAGAGGTTTTAAAACATGGTCCTAGCCCCAGCCAGTTTGGCTGAGGGGTTAGAGTGTCAGCCCGCAAACAGAGGAGTCACAGGTTCAATTCCAGGTCAAGGGCACATACCTGGGTTGCAGGTTTGATCTCAGGCCCTGGTCAGGGTCATATAGGAGGCAACCAATCGATGTCTCTCTCACATTGATCTCTCTCTTTCCCTCTCCCTCTCCCTCTCCCTCTCCCTCTCCCTCTCCCTCTCCCTCTCCCTCTTCCTTCCTCCTTCCCACTCCATCTAAAAATCAACAGAAAAATATCCTCAGGTGAGGATTAACAATAACAACAACACAAATGGGTAGAAAATTCTGTGACACTCCTCTCATTGAGAGGTGAGGTCTCTGTCCCCTCTACCTTGAATGTGATAGGTGGTTTGTTACTGCATTGAATCAACAGAGCACAGAAGAAGTGACCCTATGTGACTTGCCACTTCTGGAAAGAGTAGCATGTGTCAAGCCGCTGTATGGATTTGCATTCAGCTGGGCCCTTGCCTATTCAGGTACCCAGTTTGTTTATGTTCCAAGAGGGCGTTTTGTGGCATAAGTAGGTATGACAGCAACTTGTCACCCAAGACCCATATGTGTGGGCCTGTCTCAGTCTAGGAGAGTAATGCATAACTCAACAAAATTGGAGTCCATGGTTTTCCCTTAACCACATTGGCAATACTGCTCCCAGTCTCCTGCAAAACAAATCGACACCCTGAACCTCTTCATCTCTTGGACATTCATTGGTTATTATACTGCTTCCTGCCAAAACACAGAGCTATAGATGTAAGAAAAGGTCACGCTGAAACTTGGTTCTTTTTTCTCTTTCGTTCTATTTTATCCTTAAACACCTTTGAAGAATTATCGCAACAACTTATTCTGTATCAACTATAATTAAAAAATAAATTAATTTTAAAAAGAAGAAGCCTTAGCAATGACTCATAAAGGCCCTTGGAAGTGAACTTGGTCCTTATTCCCCTCTCTGATCATTACATCCATTTTGTGAGCTCTACAGGAGAAAAGTCCCTACCTGTTATCTCAGGGTAGCATCCCCAGCATAGTAAGTGACATTCTAAACACATTAGTGAATTTATCTAATCAGGTTTCTATTGAATGAAGCCCATATTAGCAGTAGATAGGGCATTAAGCAGGGTAGAGATAGTATTCAATCCAGTGTGCAGAAATGCTTAGGAATCTTAGATGGTTAACTATTTACCAAAAGGAGGCATAAAGGATACACTGTTTTAAATATCGTGGGCCTCTTTAGGTTGTTCTTGACTGTCCTCAAAGACAGACCTTGCACACTGCCTAGAGAGTCCCCTCCAGAGTCACAAAGGCACCTAGGCAAGCTTCCTTAATCATACAGGACTTCTGTCACCCAGACTTCTGAAGGCCATCTTCTGAGGTACAACCTCCCTTAGGGTACCACTTAAGATATCACAGCTGGGATGCTCCTCTCCATTTCTTCCATCCATAGTTCCTCCAAAAATTTAAATTTTTTTCTGAGGATGACTAGAATATTTGCAATTGCCACATGCTAGGGCTCTGAACTTCCTTCCTGTTCTTCTAAAGCTTCTTTTGGCCTCTTCTCATAGAAAGGCTAAAAAGCTGATGAACACCTCCCACATTACCCATATTGGGGTATAGGAGTCCTTCCACCACAGGTCTGGGAAATGGAAGAGGTGCAGTCAAGCAGTGAATTCTTGGCATATTATGAAAGGCCCTCATTGAGCCCAACCTTCACAGTGTTCCTGAAATTAAATGGGAAATGGGGAGCCAACACTCAGTACATGATTGAAGAGTTGTAGGGACAAAAGGGCACAATGTAATTCAAGACAGAGGAAAATGAGTCAGTCCTTTGGCAAAGAGACAGCAAGAAGGGTGAGAAAAACAACATCTCAAAAGATGAATCCCACTTCAATATTGTAGAGCTTTGTAATTGGGTAAACAAAAGAAATCAAGAAACAACTACTGCTGAAGAGAAGTACAGCTGAGCTTTCTAATGGCATCTGAATGAGATGGGGGCGAATGCCTTTGAGATCAACATTGGCAGCAGTCCACAAACTCTTAGGGCAGAAAAAAAAAACAAAAAACACATTAGTAGAGTATGGATTAGTCAGTGGGCCATCTACCAGACTCCAAGGAAACTACCCACGTCGGTCTTTTGGTATCCTTAGAAGCAAATCTCTTGAACTAAGAAATTTCCTAAGTGAAATTTCCACAAGCAGAATAATGTGAACATTAAAGATAACTAGAAACAACACATATTATCAGTGTTTTGTGCTATTAATAAAACACTTCCAGCCCGACTGGTGTGGCTCAGTGGTTGAGCATCAACCCATGAACCAAGAGTTCGCCAATTTGATTCCCGGTCAGGGCACATGCCCAGGTTGTGGGCCAAATCCCCAGTGGGGGGCATGCAGGAGGTGACCAATTGATGTTCTCTCTCATCGATGTTTCTATCTCTGTCTCCCTCTCACTTCCTCTCTCTCTAAAATCAATAAAGAAAAAAATTTCAAGCACTTCCATATTCATTTTATCATTTTAAATATTTGCAACAACCTTGGGAGGTGGAGATTATTTTCCTCATTTTTCATACAGAGAAAGAAAGACTCAAACAAATAAGTGATAAGACTCAAGTCAACAAATAAATCAGTGGCACAGTCATTATTAGAGCCTAACAGTCTCTAATTCCCTTACCTCCAAGCCCTGCTTTCAGTGCTACTCTAGGAGCCTAGGTGAAATGAGAGCAACATTCCGAGAAGCAAGTACCACAATGTTGAAAAGGAAGAGTGATTATAGATGAAAGAACTCTTGATATTGGAACAAATGGGCTTAACAAAACTGGTCTGCCAATCGGAAGTCATCTTGTGAGAGAAAGAGAAGGTAGAATGATTTGTTGTCCTCTACAAAGTTCCAACAACCAAGGAGGACATGAGCAAAAGACCTGAACACATACACCTCACTAACAATGATCTACAGATGGCAAGTAAATATATGAATAGATGCTCCACATCATACGTCACCCGTAATGAAAATTACAACAGCAATAAGATATCACCACATACCTATTAAAATGGGTAAAATCCAAAACACTTGACAGCATCAAATGCTGGCGAGGATGTGGAGCACCAAAAATGCTCATTCAGCCCTGGCCGGTTTGGCTCAGCGGTTGGAGCGTCCGCCTGCGGTCTAGAGACCCGGGTTCGGTTCCCGCTAAGGGCATGTACTTTGGTTGCAGTTTGTCCCCGGCCCTGGTTGGTCGTGCGGGTGGCAGCCACTCGATGTGTCCCTTTCACATCGATGTTTCCCTCTCTCTCTCTTCCTCTCTCTCCCTCCCACTCTATCTGTAAAAATAAAAATAAAATAAAGATAAAAAATATATAAAAAAAAAAAAAAAAACGCTCATTCATTGCTGGTGCTAATGCAAATGTTAGTCACTTTGGAAGACAATTTGGCAGTTATTTACAAAACTAGACTTACTCTTATCATACAATCCAGCAACTTCACTCCTTGGAATTTACCCAAAAGAGTGAAAATTTATATCACATAAATCTGCACACATGCTTATAGCAGCTTTATTCATAATTGCCAAAACTGGAAGCAACCAAGATGGTCTTCAATAGGTGAAAGGATAGACAAACTGTGGTACATCTATGTAATGGGATATAGATCAATGATAAAAGGAAATGCGCTAACAAGCCATGAAAAGATGAAAAGACATGAAGGATCTTTAAATGCATATTGCTAAGTGAAAGGCACAAAACTGAAAAGGCTACAGTGATATGACATTCTAGAAAAGGTAAAACACGGTACAAGGAAAGATCAGTGTTTGCCAGGGGTTCGTAAGTAAGGGAAGGGGGAAAGGATGACTAGGTTGAGAACGCGGAATATTTAGGTCTGTGAAAACATTCTGTATGATACTTTATTGGTGGATTCACGTCATTACACATTTGTCAAAACCCATAGAATGTTTAATACAAAGAGTAAACCTAATGTAAACTACAGACTTTAGTTAATAGTATTGTGTCAATATTGGCTCATAAATTGGAACAACTGTACCACACTTGCAAAATGTTGAAAATAGTGGAAACTGTGTGGAAAGAGGTAGGGAAAGAAAGGGAGTATATGAAATCTTTGTCTTTCCACTCAATTTTCCTGTAAAACTAAAATTGCTATAACTATTAAAGTCAATTTTTTTAATTAGACTTTAAATGTAGGAAAAAAGTCTTCATAATAGATTCAAATTAAATAATCATATATCATATATAAATAAAGCCCATACTATTTCTGGAAGCAGAGACATAAATAAATGGAGAATTTTCTTAAGAAGACTAAAGACCACAATTTTAGTGGCCATATTAAATAGTCCAGTTTAATGTCCTCTGAAATGAATAGGAATGGGATTTCCACACTAATTTCTCTCTACCTGAGAGGCTAAACTCTCAAGGTGGGAGCTTGAGATACAGTAACCAGATCTATTTCCTAACTGTGTGTAGTACCAGGCACCCATGAGACAGAAACCCAAACAACAGAGCATCCATCTAATCAGTGAAGACAGGAAAAATCCCCAATATCAGCAATGATCTAGGCTCCAGGCCCAGTGTCAGTGACCTACCATCATCATCCTTTCATTTTCAACTTCATTGAGTAATTCAGCAAATTCCTTGAAGGATTCAGCTGGAAGGATAAAATAAAAATAAACCAAATTAATCATGGTACTTGATAGGCAAGTGGACAGAGATTTGTGCAACAGGAGGTAAGAACTTGTGTCCCAAGCCCACATGGCCACTAAAAGAAGTCGTCAAATCCAAGGCCAATAGAAGAATGTGTTCAGTGCCTGTAGAATGTTTTTTTTTGTTCTATCTTTTCCTTTTTTTTTTTTTTTTTGCCAATATCCCTACCCAAGAGATTTTTCTTCAGTTTTATTGATACAATTGACATACAACACTGTATAAGTTGAGCGTACAGCATAATGACTTGAGATATATATATATTGTGAAATGATTACCATAAGTTGTTAACATCCATCACCTCATGTACTCACAAAACTATGTTTTTCCTTGTTATGAGAACTTTCAGGAACTAACTCTCTTTATAACTTTCAACCATACTACACAGCAGTCTTAACTACAGTTACCACGTGCATAACATCAACAGTACTTAGTTATAACTGAATGTATATGCCTTTGGATTACCTTCACCCAATTTCCTCACCCCACCCCCACCTCTGGCAATCACAAATCTGACTTCTTTTTCCATGAGTTTGGTTTCTCTAGATTCTACATATAAGTGATATCATACAGTATTTGTCTTTTTCTGTCTGATTTATTTCACTTAGCACAACCCCCATACAATCCATCCATGTTGTCACCAATGGCAGGATTTCCTTCATTTCTATGACTGAATAGTATTTTACCGTGTGTGTGCACGCGCGCATGTGTGTGTGTGTAATATTTTCCTTATCCATTCATCTGTCAATAGACACTTAGGTTTCCATTTCTTAAATATTACAGACAATGCTGCCATAAATATAGGAATGCAGATATCTCTTCAGCATTGTAATTTCATTTCCTTTAAATATATAGCCAAAAGTGGAATTGTTAGATCATAAGGTAGTTCTATTTTTTTAATTTTTAAAGGAAACTCCATACTGTTTTTCATTGTGGCTGCACCAATTTACATTCCCACTAATAGTGCACAAGGGTTCCCTTTTCTCTACATCATCACCATCAATTACATATTGACATTTTTATAATAGCCATTCTAACAGGCAAGAGGTAATATTTCATCACAGTCTTTACTTGCATTTTTCTAATGATTAGTGACGCTGAGCACCTTTACATGTACCTGTTGGCTACTGCAATATCTCTTTTAAAAAAGTCTGTTCAGGTCCTTTGCCCGTTTTTAAATCAGATTATTTGTTTTTGTAGCTATTCAGTTGTATGAATTCCTTACTTTTTTTGGATATTAACCCCTCATCAGATAGATTATTTGCAAATATTTTCTCCCATTCCATTGGTTGCCTTTCCACTTTACTGATTATTTATTTTGCTGTACAGAGCTTTTTAGTTTGATGTAGTCCTACTCGTGTATTTTTGTTGTTGTTGCTTGTGCTTAAGGTATCATATCTAAAAAGAGGATGGCTAAGACTCATCCCAAGAACCTTTCCACAATGTTTTTCTGAGAGTTTTGTGGTTTCAGGTCTTACATTTAAGTCCTGAATCCATTTTGAGTTCATCTTTACGAGTGGTGTATTATCAGGGTTTGGTTTCATTCTTTTCCATGAGTATATCCAATTTTCCCAGCACTATTGATTGAAAAGATGATCATTTCTCCCTTGAGTATTCTTGGCACTCTTGTCGAATATTAGTTGACTGTATATGCTTGGGTTCATTTCTGGGCTCTCAATTCTGTTCCATTGGTCTATGTGTCTACTATTAAGCCTAAATCCATCTCCCTGCATTGTAGCTTTGTTTCTCCTCAGGTCCCTGCAGAGGTTTTGTGGGACTGTAGATGAAAAGTCATGTGATATGTTAGAAAGAACATCAGATGGAGTAATACGTGAGGAAGGTTCTGTTGTAGGAGACAAGACAAAGAAATAGGAGCATAAACTTTAGAGAGATAAACTTGGATTTCCAACCTCAGTCTACCATCATTGATGTACAACTTTTTAAAATTTCTTTATTGATGTTGGAGAGAGAGAGGAAGGGAGAGATAGAAACATCGATGAGAAAGAATATCGAATGGCTGCCTCCTGCACTCACTCCACTGGGGATCAGGCCCACAACCTGGGCATGTGCCCTGACTGGAAATCGAACCAGTGACATCTTGGTACACGGGTCAACCCTCAACCACTGAGCCACACTGGCCGGGCTGATATGCAACTTTTAACTAAGTGACTTGATCCCTTTGAGATTCAGTTACCTACCTTGTCAAATAGGCATGATGAAATATCTGAGACTGTTGTTTTAAGGACTAAATTAGAAGGTAAATGTAGAGTGCCAACACACAGAAGGTAATAAACATTACACCTTTTCCCCCACCCCAATATTCTACTCTCCTAATGCCAGTTCTGTCACTTACTGGCGAGGTGACTGGGCAAGTCCCTTCTCCCAGCTCTTCAATTTCTTAATATACTAAGTAAATAAACAAATAAACCAATCAATAAATAAAAGCTAAATTAAGCAAGGTAGTCTTTAGTGCCCCTTTCAATTCTAATAACTACTACTTTAATGTTCCCAACTTCTCACCAGAAACAGGAAGTATATTCTCAAATGTTATCTGAATTACAGCAGACATATTAAAAGCACAGAGAAACAAACGCATCCATGTTAATATTTTTAGATAAAAAATAAATTTCCCTCCCTAAGAGAACTGGACAACTAATCCAGCTTTCCAAGTACCAAGGAAACTATGTTTAAGTTCAATACAGGACACCAGAAAATGGCATTCTTTCTTCTGAGAATTAAGGTGCTGTACATACCCAGGGAAATCACCTTTGCAAACACCGCAAATTAAAAGCAATATTAGCACAGAGAAGAAAAATACCCTAATCAGAAAGAGTAAATAGGAAAAAATGAAAATGTTTACTGACCTGCTGTTCCAAAATAGACTCAGAGATATATTTTTCTGTTGTTTTGGCATTTTTCCAGGCAAGATCAGTTTGCTTCTTATCTTCCTTGGAAATATGCCTATTCAATTATTTTGCCCATTTTGTAATTGGGTTATTTGTGTTTATTGAGTTGTAAAAGTACCTATATATTCTGGACAAAAGTCTCTCATCAGATAGATAATTTGCAAAATTTTCTTGCATACTGTTGACTGTCACTTGAAGAACAAAGCGTTAAAATTTTGTTGATATCCAATCTATCTACCTTTTCTTTTGTCACTTGTACTTTTGTTGTCTTATCTAAGAAACTGCTGTTTAGAAAAAAATATGAAGAGTTATACCTTTGTGTTTTCTTCTAAGAGATTTATAGTTTAGCTCCTACTTTAGCTTCTTAATCCATTCTGAGTTCATTTTTGTATGTGCTCTGTGGGAGAGGTCTAACTTCATTCTTTCACATTGTGTCTATCCAGTTATCTCAGTATTATTTTTTATTAAGTTCATTGGGGTGACATTGGTTAATAAGATTATAAAGGTTTCAAGTGTATATTTCTATGATATATCACCTGTATATTGCATTATGTGTTCACCACTCAAAGTCAAATCTCCTTCTGTCACCATATATCTTACCCTTTTATCCTTTACTACCCCCACCACCATCCTTCCCTCTGGTAGCTACCATACTGTCATCTGTGTCTATGAGTTTTTGTTCATCTTGGTTGTTCATTTGTTGCTTTCAGTTTTATATCCCATATATGAGTGAAACCTATGATTCTTGACTTTTTCTGTCTGACTTCTTTCACTTAGCATGATAGTCTCAAGATCCATTCATATTGTTACAAATAATAGTATTTCATCTTTTCTTATGGCTGAGAAGTATTCAACTGTATTTATGTACCACATAAGGCATTGGCCTTCCAGCATTATTTATTGAAAAGAATGTTCTTTCCCCATTGAATCGTCTTGGCACACTTGTCAAAAACCAGTTGACCATAAAGTAAGGGATTATTTTTGGTATCTTAATTCTATTCTATTGATCTCTAAATCTGTCCTATGACAGTACCATATAGTCATGATAATGCCCTTGCAATGAGTTTTGAAATGGGACAGTGTGAGTCATCCAACATTGTTCTTTTTCAAGATTGCTTGGCTCTTCTAGATAAGTCCCTTGAATTTCTATATGAATTTTAGCATCACCATTTTTATAGTTATCACATTGAATGTGTAGACCAATACAAGGATCATTGCCAACTTAACAATATTAAGTCTTCTGACACACAAACATGGGATATCCTTGTTTTGGTATCAGGGCAATGTGTTACAGATATCACCCCCCTTTTTCCCCCATTGACCCCCTCCTCCTCAATCCCATTCCCCTCCTCCCTTCCCCACACTATTGTTTGTGTCCATTGGTTATGCATATATGTATTGAAGTTCTTTGGTTTATTTCTTCCCGCCCTCCCTTCCCCTTTCCCTTTGAGGTTCATCAACCTAACAACTAATTTGTACTTCTTAATTTCTTCGTTTTCTTCACCCATCCCTCCAGCCCCCTCATATTTGGCAAGCAACAAAACGTTCTGTGTATCTATGAGTCTGTTTCTGTTCTGCTTGCTCATTTTGTTTGTAGATTCAATTGTTGATAGATATGTATATTGCCATTTTATTGTTCATATTTTTGTTCTTCTCCTCCTTCAAGAAGACCCTTCAACATTTCATATAATACTGGTTTGGTGGTGATGAATTCCTTTAGCTTTTTCTTGTCTAAAACACTCTTTATATACTCATCAATTCTAAATAATAGCTTTGTAGGACAGAGTAATCTTGGTTGTAGGTCATTGTTTTTCATCACTTTGAACATCTCTTGCCACTTCTTTTTGGCCTGCAAAGTTTCTTTTGAGAAATCAGCTGACAGTCTTATGGGAGCGCTGTTGTAGGTAACTAACTGCTTTTCTCTTGCTGCTTTTAAGATTCTCTCTTTGTCTTTAACCTTTTGCATTTTGATGATGATGTGTCTTGGGGTGGGCCTCTTTGGGTTCATCTTGTTTGGAACTCTCTGTGCTTCCTGGACTTG